CCCCGCTTCGCGATAGCTACTATTTTTAGGGAGAGAGAAAGCGAGCGAGCGAGCGAGAAATAGAGAGGAGAATTAAAACGTTAGGAAGGACAGTAAACAGTAGCAGAAGAAACCTTGAAAAATGTGGACTCTCCTCTCGCAATTCCTGCCTTATTACCCCGCTCCTTTGTTCCTTTAGCTGTAACTCAAGAACACCATAAACCTATATCCCCCTCCAAGAAGAGAGAAAGAGGAAAAAAACTCTAAAGCCAAAAAAATAATGACTTGACTGTTCTGACGTTTGGTGTTTTGACATTAATGACATTAATGATATTGATGTTTCACCAGGAAAAAAGCACTAGGAATAAAAGAAGTGGGGGGGAAGTGCGGAGAGGGGAGACGATTTTAAAACTAAATTATCTTCGTTTCCTTATTCTTCTGTGACATTAAGTATATGTGTTTCTGCACTTGAATTTGAAATAGATGTATTGTTCTCAGGTGCTTCTTCATCACATTGTATTTAGTTGTCTTCAGTCTTAGGAAATGTGTTGCCATTCTTCAGGCATGCACTTGAATGGACAATGCATCCTTCTATCTCAGTCCTGTTTCATCTACAATTTAAACCTAAAAGCTCTCTTTCCATCATACTCCCTCAATCTGATAACTGTAAACTGGTTTCAGAGATTCCATTTTCACTCTTTGTTTGCATTTTTTTCCACCTTGTAAACAACGATGCAGAATATCGCTAGTTTCCTTATTACCTTCCTTGACAGGGCGCAGTGCCTGTGCAAATCTGCATACGTGTACTCACATCTTTTTTCATTGATGAGCTGGGGCAATGCTTAGGTGAGGCTTGGAAAAGCAATAAAGTTGCTCTCACGAACCCTTCAGTGCCCCTGACTTTTTCCTTAAGTTCGAGTCTTGGAGATTTTCCTGAAGTTTGAAGTAAGGTTTCTCTGGATTGGGGTAGGGTTCCTTCCCTGCTTTATTTGCAGACTCTGATTTTTGGAATAGCTGTACTTTCAGGATGGTGATTTTTTTTTCCTTTTTTTCCTCCCCTTTCCAAAGACCTATTTTCTTTTTCCCTTTCTTTTTTTCTCTTCTTTTCTTTTTCCTAAAACTACCAAGACCTTCACTCTGACCTTAAACATCTGCTTTTAGACACTGGGTTCCCTGACACTGGCCTGTGCTTCCTTAAGGGCAGCCTTAATTCATCATCAGGTGGGGATTTTCCTATTAGCATTAGTTTCAATACTTGCAAAATGTTCTCCTGGAGCAGGAGGTTTAAGGCCCAGAGAGGTGTCTGTTCCTGCCATCCTGGATTTTGCTGGTTTGTTGTTGTTGCGTGCTTTTAATGGAAGGTTGTGATAAAACCTTCCTGCTGGTTTCTAGTGTTTAAGGCCTAAGACAAGGTTTTGATGGGTATCGCAGGAATCACGAACTTCAAAGGCATGTCAGCTCTAAGGTTATGGTTCACCTGCGCGGGGTCCTTGGTACTGTAAATATCTCTTGTGTGTAACTGTGACTTAGTGACCATTGCTGGTATACCCATTTCTGGAATAGCATTATCAAAAATCTGCACGTGTTCCTGCGGTGTATTTGGATGCTCTTTGAATAGTCATGTTTTTATCTTCAGTAGGGGGTATTTTAAAGTATGTCTACTCCTAGTTTTAGTTAATTATCTTTTAATGAAAGTGTCAGTCATATTCACATCTGCAGTATTAGGTTAAGATAATTAGATTTTCAAATGAGAAGCAATCTTCTTAAATCCCACACAGGAAAATATTTGTAGAAGATTTCGATTTATAATGACATCTGTACATTTTACCCTACTTTTCATCATAATAGTGTGCCCCGCTCCCGCCCCCCCAAGAATGAAATATGTCTGGTAAAATATAGCAGATAAAATATTAATAAAATATCAATACTTGCAGGGAAAGTGGAAGATGATGCATGTATATGCATGAAACCTGTATTGTATGCAAAGAGATTCTTTCCCTGGGCTGATATTTACCTCATTTTGATAAGGCTGTTTACAGTTGATATTGTATATTCTGGTAGGCTTTGCTTTTTACTTTGTTGGTATCTCCAAGCAGTCACATGGAGTCAACAAATAAGGTCTGCTATGTTTTGTGTGACTGCGTGTATGTGGAGTGTATGTGCATATGTGTAAATACGATGTAGGATGTGAGCGCATACGTGTGTGCGTTTGTGTGCGTATGTGTAAATAAATCCGTCTTTATCTCTGTATGGGTAGTTATTCCCTATCAGATATATTACCTTTCCTTTTACAGACATGTCATACATTCACTAGACCATTGCAAAAATGGGATGCAAAAATATTTTTTCATTAAATTCCCATTAAAAGAGAGAAAATGGAAGAGAAAGACAGACAGAAATATCTCCCTGATGAAATAATTAATTTGGACCCGTTTATTTTAAGTTTCCAAAACAGTTAAAAGAGCAAGTCTGCCACCCTCCCGCCCTTCTTTTTTTTTTTTTTTTTTTTTTTTTTTATTGT